TCGCATTAAGATGACAAAAAATAAAACATAAATTTTTTGTATTTTTTAAAATGAACTACTTTTTCAGCCTAAGGGTATATTTATTTTAATTAGTCAACAACAAAAAAAGAGCAAATATACGCATTCATGTGTTGTTTAAAGAAATAATACAGTAGTAAGATACCAGTAACAATAGTACATATCAGTTGAAACTGTTGTCGTTTTTTATTTTTCATAATTTGAAATTATTTTTAGCTTGAAAATGTTTGATCAGTTATTAAAATATTATTTCATAATTATTTCATCTTGGGAGACAGCAAACCAGATTCCAGTGGAGGAAGAAATCAGGAAGAGGCGCTGGATAGTACATACATTGAGGAAATCACCCAACTGCGTCACAAGACAAGCAATCACATGGAATCCTGAAGGCCAAAGATGAAGAGGAAGATAAAAGAACACATTACACCGAGACAGGGAGACAAATATGAGAAGAATGAACAAAAATGGATAGAACTAGAAAGGAATGCTGAGGACAGAGTTGGTTGGAGAATGCTGGTCGGCGACCTATTCTCCATTGGGAATAACAGTCGTAAGTAATTATTTCATCTGCATTATATCATATCTATCATTGATTATTAGGCGCTATCCTGATGTAGAGACATATATAACTCTTTAAGTCATTCATTTTTCAACGATTGAAATGTTGTACTCATTTTTTTTCCTTTTTCTAATTTATTTTAACTAATTAAGTGGATAACGTGATCGCTTGAAGCGAACATTACTGGGTTCGAGTCCCAGAGTAAACATCAGCTCTGAGATGCAGCCACATCTAGATGACGAGTCCCAAATAGGAAGAAACGCTCATCTTGGATTCCACTGCTAACCACTATCCATCTTTGCTTCTACTAATTAATATTGTTTATAAAACTACTAATATATCTTTTATAAACAGTCTATAAATGATTGCCGTTTTAAATATTGTGAATTCAAATGGACATCATATTAGTTGATATGTTTTATCTACAGTCTAACAAGAATGTTCATTTTAATAGAAAGTGCATTTTATAGCAGCTCAAGTGCAACTGAGTTTGTTCACATTTAATTTGGTTAAGCTCTTTTGTTAACTTTTTTAACGGACAGTGTCATTCGTACAATAATAACTTATCTATACCATTGTAACTTTATTATTGTTGCACTTGTATGAATATGTACGCTTGAGCATTGCTTACTGCCTACGCATGTATTCATTCTGCTAGCCTTGCTATAAGTCGATTAAATGATTCGATGATTAATTCATTTCCATATGTATATGTATGTACATTTTAATCCTGTTCATTAATTTGCGCATTCGACTCGCACACTCACTCGCTCGCTTTATTTTCGGCATTAGCCTTTCATTTTTGTTTCGCATATCTGTGGTTTTGGTAATCTGTACGTTGTGCAATAATCAACGTAATCAACACTTCGTATTCCTCTTCTGATTTATACACCGTTCGGGACATTATCTAGTAATGGTTATCAGGACGAACTGCTTATGAATTTTAAAGACTATATCGAATACCGACCACTACGATCTAACATACATTCTATCAAACAAAAAATGGTTATAAGGACATGTTTAGCTGAAAACATTCACAGTTGAAAAAAAGACGGCCAATCGACATTTTACAAAAATCTGTTATTTCTTTTAAATCTTTACAAATAAAACTTTTATCTAGAAAGAATTTGTTGTATTTGTTTACTGTTTTTGCTCAGAGTTCTCTACCATATTTAAACCATAATCTTAGCATGACCATGTCTTACTGTCGAAAGGATTTAAAATGTCAATCACTAACTTGGTTTTAAAGCGTAACGTTAAGTCTTGTCACGTCGCTTCATCAGACTCCAGTTTAAAAGTCATCTTTGGATTCGGATGAATTGACTTAAAGAGAATGTAAATTAGGAACTTTTGTAGTGCACAAACTTCAGTGATCTACCGACTGATGACTGATTTCTTTGTGAATGAACGATATGTAAAATATTTCAATTTAAGGCCAACTTAACTCATACCTCTATCTCTTATTTCCAATAACCTATCGATATCACTCCTCTATTATTGTTTCATAATTATCAATTACCTATTACTTCGATAATCATCAACTTTTCCCCTCATGCTCATTAAGTGGACAAACATCACTGATCTACAAACTGCCTTCAACTTGATATGTTTTTACATTTGATATCGAACCGTTACACAACTTCATGATCATGATCCGATCTCAGTTGGACAAGCACTGAAAACCTGAAAGCATCGAATGGATTTTTTGTTCTGGTATGGGACTTCTTAACACTGTGCACCAATGATCCTGAACTCAGGAATCCAACTCGAAACCTTCGGTCATACACAATAGCACTTAACCACTACACCACTGAGCCTTCATCAGACGGTGTTAATGTCTAGCTACTTTGTCATATTTGAATTTCTGGAACAACTTAAGACATTATAACGCTCTGTTTTTGATTAGCGTATTAAAATACTTTATATCTCTTTCTCTAATGATAGAACATTATGTGTAGAGATTCACCATAAATAGGACTGTATAGCTAAAATAAATAACATTGTCAGATTTTTTTCCTGAAGTTGCATTTAGTTCTTCAAAATCACACAATTGGTTTACCTTCGTACTGCATACTGGCAATTAAAGCAAAAGCTAATCCCTTTAATTGAGTGTCAAAAGACCAACCATGAAACTTAGTTACGTTCGCCTACTGACACAAGGAAATTTTTAGATATTTCTTTGATCTACCTGAAAATGTATATTCAATTCTAAACATTTTAGAGATGTTTAGTTGGATTTTTTCGTGCGAAGATATCTACGTCAAATAGACTCGAATATCTCTTCTCCAATCACTTTGTATTGAGCTCAGATCTTTATCTAATTTCATATTTTGTTATATCATATATTATCATTATATTATATATATTATATATTATGACGAAAACGTAAAGCTTGATCAACTGCTCTTGGATTTCCTCATTAATGATTCAGTAAATTATTTCCTGACAAGCCAGACACTATCAGCAACAGCTTACTGTGGGAGAGAAGAAACCAGGTTCCATCCAGTGGAAGAAGAAATCAGGAAGAAGGGCTAGAAGTGGATAGGACACATATTGAGGAGATCACCAAAATGAAACCACAATACAAGCCCCCACATGGAATCGTGAAGGCGAAAGGAGAAGAGGAACACATTACGCTGAGAAATGGAGACAGACATGAGAAGAATTGACAAAAGTTGGATAGAACTAGAAAGAAAGTGGCAGGACAGAGTGGGTTGGAGAATGCTGGTCGGCGGTCTATCTTCCATCGGTAGTAACAGGCGTAAGTAAGTAAGTAAGTATTTCCTAACAAGTTGTCCAGTAGTAATATTTTGTTTTATTTTGGTGTGTGCCGACTACAACTTTGGTATCGAATCCGACAAAAATGATAGTTGATCTCGTATTATTGTAGTAGTTCTTGATTGATCGTTTGTATTCATCTTCTAATTCCTTTTAATCTGTATCAACATTTTTACTCTATTTGGTTTTTTATTGTTCGGGAGATCCCATAAAGTTCTAGAAAGTCGGAATTAAAAAACAAAAAAACCACACTAGTTCTTTATTTTCATCAGGATAATAGGTGGACGATCAAACTGGATATTTTTGTAGCCTTGACGGCTATCATTGAAACGCTTGATCCGCTTCAATGCGCTGTAATTTTTAATGTATTATTTTCATAAGTCTTAATGAACAGTTCACAAATATTTTGAGATTTTGATTTCAGTTTTCACAAAACATTTTATGTAGGATCATATAATTGTGTATATATCAGCTGGATTTGAATCGACAACTGCTTTTCTCTGCTGATGTGGTATGGCAACTCGAATTGATGTACTTACGTACGAAGTTCTACGTTGTGACTGACTGACTGTATATATCAGCTCTGATATTTGACTTATCCCAATATGCTTGTAAAAAATTTCTATCTTATCAACATACGAAACGATGGTTGTTGAGCCCGAATCCAAATAACTAAATATAATTAACGAATATTTAAAAGGATGAAACAGAAATATTATTTTATTATTTGTTTAACCATCTTTAGGCAGAGTATATCAACATTAACAACCTTCTGTCTATTTCGTCCATATTTCATTTTTCTGTCACTCCGTATGCTTGACTGACGTATTTATAACATGAATGAATAAATAACTACATACGTATATATAAATGCAGACATCCATACACAATAATCTATTCATCCCCTTATTTTCCAAATCTTTAAAACAGTAGAAAGTGTTGATTTTTACTTTCTCCCCTTTTCAGACTGTTTTCTTTTATCGAGTTAAGAGAAACTAATGATAGTCAACACTAATTTAACCTATTCATAGAAATCAAATAAATCTAAGAAAGGGATGTATTTAACGTTCTATTATAGAATAGTATTCCTAAGCTATTGTTATTCTAGTCAATACTGTTAATATGAATATCTTAAGACTACGGAGAAAGGGTTAGAGAAAATTTACTAAAACAACCAACCATATCTAACTAACTATTCTAATATAGTTAAAGCAAAAAAAGTATAAACAACAAATGACAGTGGGAAAAAAGGTTACATTAGCTTGATAGCTTTTTCTTTAGTTAAAATCTAGTTAGAAACTTTCCCTATATTCTTGTCTAATTTAAAGCTTATTTATTGGAAGAAGAAAATCTATGTTATCATAGCTTAGAATGCTGCTATAAACTTTGTCTACGAATTTCAATTAATGTTCGTTCTATGTGTCTGTAAATACCTAAATTCATATATGATCTTTATTCCACAATCAAGCATCTTAGGAGATGTCTCATAAAAGTCCAGTTAAAGCTTAAAAAGAACAAAACAATAATTCAATGTTTATTGGCCTATGAATGAAATGAAAGTAAATCGGTCCTTCTTTTTTTTCCATAAAATTTCCTGTGATTACACACATATATACACAATTAATGATTGGAATATTTTTTTTCTTCTTTTGTCGTTTGTTTCTCAAACTTCTCATTCAGATACTAATATTACTTATATCTGTTCTTATCGTCATTAACTAAATCCTATAAACTATGTTACCTGGAGAGGATAAAGTAAGTGTAAATGTATAGTTTATGTTTATAATCAAAGATAAAATTATCATTATCAGAAGGGGTTTTGTGGAGATTTTCATAGTTTTATATAGTTGAGATCATGCGTCAATTGAAGCTAGACCATCATGGAAATACCTGGAAGCACTGGATGGCCGTTTCGTTCTATTGTGCTACTTCTTATCAGTGCGCATCCACGATCCCGCCGGCTCAGCGGACTATCGGTTAAGTGTTCGCACGCGAGACTACTAGGTCCTGGGTTGGAATTTCGTGAGTCGGGATCGTGACTCATGATCTCAACTATATAAAATTATCAATTCATATCATCCTCTTACATTTTAATATTAAGACTATTAAATTCTTAGAAATAGTTTTTTATTATAATTGGAAATCAGTTGATCTACAGGAGCATTCAATTAACTGTGGACACATCGCTCCAAAAGATTCTTCTTTTAACAAAAGGATCATTAAAGTATAACAGTAAATCACTGATGATTAAACGATGAACATAGTTTCTGTAGAAGACAATGGTGCATATTTGTAAATTGTAGGCTAGAATAAAAAAAGCGTTTCACATGCTCTGGTTTTTATTAGTTATTCAATTGATTTCAGTTAATAATGATGGATATACATTTGACACAATTAGTTTCTTTGATGAAATTCAATAGTGTAATAAGTAGACAAAGATTATCAGAACTATGTGATATATTAGCGCAATACATTTCGAACAATTTGATCACACATATACTTGTTAAGAACATTTATTTATAAGAATAAAAGGCAACTACACTGGATATGGGGGGATAAGAGGAAACATGGATAATAATAATAATAATAATAATAATAATAATAATAATAATAATAATGTGAAAACAATTTGAAACCTAATCACTCTGGATAATAAGCTAATATATTACCGGAATAGGGTCAAGGTGAGGACAAACCGTTTTTGAATACACAAAGGGAATTTGAATTTTCTTATGGCTGAGGCTTCAATAAACCTTAGTAATGCCCTTTTACACATTTATACAACACCAGAAAAGCCGAGTTAAGATCAATCTTATGGCCTGTTTCGATTATGTGTTTTACAATAGAGGATGATGAATGTTTATCTACTACTCTTATTGGGTCATTTGATTCTATTTGTTTCTGAAACCATTTTGGCACATGTTCACATACCCTAACTTTGAGATTACGATATTCATTTGAATCAAGTTTTAATTTTCTATATAACGTAGAATATCATCTTGTCTGAATCATAAAGAATAAATTAGGGTATAATTATTGAAAAAGCTGATTTCTTTTAATAGAGTATTATTTACGATTTACAGTTATATAAACAAATCCATTAAGATGATAAAAAACAGTATTCTGTAGTTAACTGGAACTTACATATGTTTAAGGTTTAAGTTTTCTCATTGTTGATGATAAACCTTTTTATTCATAAGCAGAGATGGATAGTGGCTAGCAGTGGAATCCAGGACGCGCGTTTCGTCCTATTTGGGACTCGTCAGCTGGATGTACCTGCATCTCAGAGTTGATGTTCACTCATTCATAGTTTGAATTTGTAAGCATAACTTTTCATGAGGCATTTTAATTTTCCTAGGTTTCATAGGATAATAATAGTCATTTTGTATGCTGTCTTTAGTGCTTTCTTTGTACAGTATATTTGATTATAATAATGGAAGACGTCCATAACCATATTGACTTTCTCAAATTAATCTTATATGGTATACTGTTCATAGTTAATTGAACTAACTTTGTTTACAGATTAGATGTCGAAAGACTTTTTTTTACAGTACATTACATTACACTCTTTCTATTCGTCTTATTATATTATTACTAGTTGTCAGATTTATTTAAAAAAATCATTTCTAACTTTGATGAAGTTTTGTTCTTTGATCTGAATGGTTTAGTCGTGGAGTTATCATCATTCTTCAGAAGAACAATGAAATCTCCACGACCGAATCATCTAATCGAGCGACACATTTTCTCTATCACCACCATCTTCAAATCATTCCTAACTCATTGTTTTCTTTATTTTAGAAACAAAATCTTAAAGAATTATTTTCAAATGATTTACAATGTAAAGGATGTAATCATCAAATTAATGATAGAATATTAATACTTTTAATAAAAAAAGGTAAATCAATAAATGATAAAATCAATAATGAATCAATTAAATTTAATAAACAATTAAAATTATCATCAAATTTAATAAAATCAGAAATTTATCATATTCATTGTTTTAATTGTTTTGAATGTGGTGAACATTTATCATTTAATAATGAAAAATGTTGGATATATCAAGAAAATAAAATTATTTGTATTAATTGTAGAATAAAGTAAGTAAATAATATGAGTAGTATATTATGATTATTGAAGATTAATTTGATCTATTTTAAAGTATTATTTGTTGTGTCGTTCAATTTTGGTGGATCGGTTGAAGTTACACATTAACACCGTTGGATACCGGTTCAGCGGTCTAGAGGTTAAGCGCTCGTACACCAAACTGATAGGTCCTGGGTTCGAATCTCGTGAGACGGGATCGTGGATGCGCACTGCTTAGGAGTTCCACAATAGGAAGAAACTGCCGTCCAGTGCTTCAAGGTTTTCCATGGTTGTCTAATTTCAATTGATTCATGATTTCAACTCTTAAAATTATTATTTGTCTCTTTAAACAAAAATTTTGAGTACAATGAAATGACATTTAAACTGGTATGATTACACAATCTAGCTCGAAATGATGCAATAGAGATAAAAATGTCTATTTGATCTCTAAAACTTACATATACTTTCATAGGTGATTTGGACCCATGATTCTAAAAGAACAATCTCAACTCATGAGAAAAGAAAAGTTCGTTGCTTTTCTGTTTCATTCGTTCGTTATCTGATTTCAGTTTTAGACAAGCATTATCTACAAAAGTACACAAATTAGGATATTCAAAATGTATTGTACATATTTTAATTACGGTTTCACCTTTAATGGTCGTTTATCCTGGAATAAATTCACTATTTGATCAAGAAAAACAAACAAAACAACCAACTTCAGGCCCAGTTAAAAAGTGTTTTGCAACAAAACTGAACCAAATATAACTGACATGTTCATGATTAAATGTTCTTCTTTTACACTAAAACGTTGATGAAGTTAACTGATGCATTAACCAGCGCTTTTTTTAAATATAACTTTTTAATAACTATTTTGAATTATATAAGAAATTTCGTCTAAATTAGAGCGAATATTTTCACAATATTTTGGGTGCCGAGTTGATGTAAGGCATTAAATAAGAATATGATATTTGTAAAATCTCAGCGAAGTGAATTTGAAGTAAATCCAACGTTTTGCCTTACAATCTGGTCCAAGCTTTTTCGAATCACGTCACTGATATTTTACAAATATATTATTCTTTTTTTTGATATTTAGAATTATAATAGTTATTATCAAGATTAGTGAAACAACCTTGGTTATTTGAACTTAAAGCAAATTAATAACGTTAACTCTCTTTTATCAATCGGTTTGGTCTTAAGGAACCGCATGTTTTCTTTGTCAGTCATTTTAAATAGTTGACATTTTAACCAAAATGTTCATCACCACTTAAGAGATAAAATTATATATATATATATATAATCTTCAGTGGAACTCACTGAAGACAATTGTGAATGGTTGCTCAACTTCGTGGATCAGTTGAAGTTAGACATTAACACCGTTGGATGCCAGCTCAGTGGTCTATCGGTTAAGTGCTCTGGCTCGAGCCTGATAGATCCTGGGTTCGGATCTCGCTCGCGAGAGTGGGTTCGTGGATGCGCACTGCTGTGGAGTCCCATAATAGGACGAAACGGCCGTCCAGTGTTTCCAGGTTTTCCATGGTGGTCTAGCTTCAATTGATTCACGTTTTCAAATATAATCTTCAATAATATAGCTCACTTATTTGAGTGACAAGTGAACATGATTATCAGTTCCTTTAAAAAAAAAAACTAATTACATTTGATAGATATAAACATTGTGGACGATGTCGACTTCAAGTACCTGAAGATATGAAAGTTCATAAATTAAATCGTGTACCATTTCATACAACATGTTTCACATGTTTTCAATGTGGTCGACAATTATATCAAGGTGATAAATGTGGAATATTTAATAATGATGTATTATGTTATGAACATTATATGTCTAAATTGCTATCATGGAAAGCATTAAATTTAGATTCAGATTCAATATCTAATATAAATCAAATTGAATCTAATCAAATGGATAAACTACAACAATTTTTATTGGATCAAGAACATTTTTCAATCAATATGAATGAATCAAAAAGTAATCGAAATTTTAGTAAGTTTACTCTTTATCACTTGATTTCATTGTTCAGTACAAATACAATTTATGATTTTAATATTTGGGGACCCTTTTCTGTATTCATGTAAATAATTATTTGAACAAAATGTATATTTCTTATGTCTTGAGAAAAGGGTTTAATATGTAGATAAACTGTGGACTCAAAGTCTATGTATCAGAAGTTGATCATTGAAATCATGGACCAATCAAAGTTAGATAAACATGAAGAAAACTAAAAACACTGGATAAGCGATTCCTTTTTGTGTTCCACGACTTTCCATCCACTGAACTGAAATTCAATGACATTCAATCCATTGATGTGCACCGATCAGTAGTCACATGATAGAAGAAAACGGTCATCCAATGTTACCATGTTTTCATTAATTATCTTACGTTAGTAGATCCATAATTTCAATGAAATCCAACAATCTCCACAGCTCTATACTAACAATCAAACGTTTATCTGAATATAACTACAGGCACATCATTCATTTATTGTTTAAAACTCAATTTGAACTTTCATTTCATTTCAACAATAAGTTTGCTTACTACAAAGATTGAAAACTACTTTAGAAGCATAAAGTCAAGCAATACACTGTTTAAGAACTTTATTTTAAGGAAATCAGGAAGTAACTATGAACGATTGATGATGATTATTTTCAAGTAAATGTTCACTGAAGTTAGACGGAAATATTCAAAACAATCATATTATTATCATCATTGACCTAATTAGATTCCTAAATTGCTAAGGTTTATGGAACTTATTATTATTATTTGCAAACGTAATTTACAAATCGCCGTCTTTATGATTTGTTAGTCAGACGTAAAATCAACTTTACATTTTTTCAAGTAATTTCAATAGTTGAGATCATAAGTCAATTGAAGCTAGACCCCCATGGAAAATCTGGAAGCACTGGACGGCCATTTCGTCCTATTGTGGGAATCGTCAGCAAGTAGACTTGACTATTATTTTCGTCAGTGTAGGGTTATGGAGATTGTTGAGTTTTAATTGAGATCACGAACCGATCGATGATGACCAATGTAATGTATGAAAAGTTATCTTTTGTATTATAAAACTTCTATTAAATCATAGTGTTAGTTTCCTACAAAGTAAATTTTTACTAGTACATCAGTTATTCATTTTACACAGGTAATCTTATCAAAGGTTTAGTGAAACGATATTAAAAGGTGAATAGATACAAAAGTAAAATCGTTCAGTCAATTTACACTATATTGACTGATTCAATAATAAAATTAGCTACTAATCAAAACGTACAGTGAAGTTATATTCTACATACTTTGAAATAAATATACATTCTAATAATTTTGTGCTTCTTTCACCAACACATTTATATAAAAGAAAATTTTTGGAAATTAATGTTTTGATGATTTTGAGCAACTCTAAGAAAGAATGATGGATTCTAAAGTCTTTAAAATATAAAACCATGTATGATCAAAACATATAAGTAGATTAAAGTAAGATAAAGATATTCAAAATACTAAGAAAATGATCAGACAAAAACGGATGGCGACTAACAGTGAAATAGAGGACGCGCGTCTCATCTTACCTGGGATTCGTCAAATGGATATTCAGGCATCCTAGAGTAGATGTCCACTCCAGGACTCCAACCCAGTAACGTTTGCTTTCAACGCTATCACATTATCTACTTTAGCTACTGAGTTATGATAGCAACTTGTTTGTGAAATGGGGTGAAGTTTGAATTCATTTTGTATTGTTTGTTTGAATCTTCGCATTCATGTTTAGGATTGCAATTGATCAGTGTCTTACTAGCATATGTGCATCCTGTGAGAATTCCCTTGATATTGCCTTAAGTTCTGGAGTAAACATTAACTCTGGGATGCAGGTACATCCAGCTGATGAGTCCCAAATAGGACGAAACGCGTGTCCTGAATTTTACTGCTAGTAGCCATTCATCTTTGTTTATAATGCTTATAACTTAGGATAATATCGAGAAAATCCGCACAAGATGCACCTATGCCAATAAGAGATCGATCAATTGCAGTCCTAAACATGAATGAAAAGATTAAACAAACAATACAAAATGAATTTTAAAATTGAATAGTTTTCAAATTAATGACTTCGAAAATTACGTTTTCCACTTTTCCCAGTGAATGTGATTAACAATCACTAAGAATTCTAATAAAAAAACAAATGATAATTTTATGATATTTTCCTCATTGTAGTAGTTTTGGCCAAGTTCACTAGGTATTGTTCGTTTGAATCTTCCCATCGATGTGTTAGGACTGCACCTGGTCAGTCTATTACTGGCATATGTGCATACTGTGCGTATTGCCTCGATATTGCTTTAATTCACAATCATTATAAGCAAAGATGGATGGTGACTAGCAGTAGAATCCAGGACGCGCGTTTCGACAGTTGAATGTACCTGCATTTCAGAGTTGATGTTCACTCTAGGATTCGAACACAAAACCTTTCGCTACAAACGTTATCGCGTTATCCACTCAGCTGCTTAGTCCTGAGTTAAAGATTTTCTCTATATTTTTTTTCTTTGATTGACCTATTTGATCTGTCTCTTTCTAGTTCAATCCAGAAATCATTTGCTCTTTTTAAGCAAGTGTTATTTACACAATTTGGTATCTAAACATTTATACCAAGATGATTAATAAACTATCAATTGAAATATTGTCAAGTTGAAAAGATTATCTCCAAGACCTATTTTAGCTCCTTGTTTTTAGTGTGGTAACCCCTGATATTGCATAAGATACGGGGATGAGTTCGAATGTGCATTAGTTTAATGACAAGAATATTGCAGTATTCACGAGTAAAACGAAACAATACTCCTGTCGTACTTTGTATATGTAAAACTAAAACCATAATCAAAGTGCAGTATTTACATGAAACAAAATCTTCTAGTAACAATTACTTTTTTTTTCTCAGTTCTTATGGTTCTTTTCTTTGGTTTACGGCTTAGATAACTTAGATTCAGCATGGATTATTGACGAGAAGTTATTTTTTGAAGTACCAACACAATATTGATTGCTCACAGTTATCTAGTAACTAGTTGAATGACACATTCATGTTTAAACCGATATTTTTTTCTGATTCAAAACAGGATAACGAAGGTGAAGTAATTCACTGTATCTTTAATTATCCTAAGAATAATTTTAAAATAGCCAAATTTTTTTAATGTTTGTCGGTAGTTAAACAGATGTTTGTTCAGTAGGGCCTGAATCGCAATACGTATATAAAGCTGATGTTATTAGTATGTTCAACAAACTGAAGTAGATCGAACAAGACTGGTACAAATTTCACTGCATTAATCATATCCCTTAAAATAAATTAAGTAAATATCCACATGATGATCAATGTTGTCTATTTTCATTTTTCACGGGTAATTAGGGACCTTTAATGAATAGGCTCATTATATAAACAGAATGTAAACAATATGAATCAACAAAATCTGTTGGAATACCAAACACTGGTGAGTCAGTATAAGGAGCAACGGTTTGCATAATTACAAATAAAATAATATATTTGTAATATCCCAATAAGTAGGAAAATTAAATTTTCTGATGTTTCGTGACTCAATGTAAGCCACTTCTTCAGAAATTAAATAATCAAATCAAAATTAATTCGAGTTTAAACAGTACATAAAAACAACAACAAAACAGGTTTGAACGTGTTAATCAATTCCTTGAAAAAATTTGACAAATCATATGGAATATTTGGAATTTAAAGGTCATCATAATGTAAACCGTATTTCTTTTGCTATGGTATACAGTATTTTAAAATGTATGTTTACATGATGCATAAACCTTAATTACTCATTAGATTGATTTCAAACTTGTATGTCTAATAAGAATTTATTAATAATTTACCTAATGATACTATGGAGTTGAGTATTTTATTACAATCACTTATACTAAATTATCATATAGTTTACAGAACTTTCAAACTCACTTACTTACTTACGTTTGTTATCCCTTATACAGAAGCATGGGCCATCCACCAGCACTCTCCTTCCAACCTTGTCTTGGGGAATCCTTTCCAGTTGTTTCCAGTTGCTATTCATCCTTTTCACATCTGCTTCCATTTTTTTCGACGCAATGCGTTCTTTTGCCTTTGGATATTCAGTATTCAGTGTTCAGAAATACTTGTACCATTTTGATGATGGTTGAAATAGTCTTCGAAGTTTCAGTTCCACACAATAGAACTGACTGTCTTGATGTTAGTATTGAAGATTCTCACTCTGACATTGGTTGAGAGACATTTGTTTTAAGTTCCATATGTTCTTCAACTGTAGGAATGTTGTCCTTACGTTCCTAATTCTCGCCTCGACGTTCATATCGGATCCTTCTTGTTCATTGATGATGTTGACCATACAGATACGTGAAAGATTCTACATCTTCCAGAGTTTCTCCATCAATTGTGATTGGTTTGTTAGGTGTTTTCCATGTTGTATTTGAGGATGTTGGTTTTCCCCTTGTGTATGTTGAGGCCTACTGATGTAGAGGCTTGTGCTACACTGTTTGTCTTGACCTAGATTTGCTGGTGCATATGAGGTGGAATAGCTAGGTCATCTGTGAAGTCTAAATCTTGTAATTGATTCCAAGATGTCGATTGTATTCGGTGCTTCTCCTCAGATATCGAGGTCTTCATAATCCAGTCGACCATTAGAAGAAAGAGGAAGGGGGAGAGTAAACAGCCCTGTCTGACTCTGGTCCTTGCTTAGAATGTCTATTGGCCGTCCTCCATCCACGACGTTGCACTGTAGTCTGTCGTGTGAGTTCCGGATAATATTGACAGTCTTTTCTAAAACTCTATAGTGTCGAAGAAGTTTTCATAATGTTGTACTGTCAACACTGTCGAATGTCTTCTCATAATCAATGAAGTTAATATAGTGTGATGAAATCCATTCAATTGATTATTCAACGATGAACCGTCGTGTCGCAATTTCGTCTGTGCACGACCTAGAACTTTCAAACACATTGAGAAATCAACTTCAAATGTAGCAATAATTTAATTTGTACTTTATGATATAGTATTGCTTCTCTTATTTTTATCTAAATGAATTGTTTGATAATTACTATAACTATATTTTAATATTTGTTTTGGGAATTGTAGACTATACATTTGGCACAAAATTATTTTATTTTATTATGTTGAATAGATTGGAATTAGCTTTCGTAATCCTTATAACTATATAAAATTCTTTGGTATAAACTATTATAGATATATACTATGCTGTTTTAGATGACTATTAAAAAACCTTTTCTGACAGAAGTTAGGGATAATTAGATTACTGTTTTCTTTCTTTATTGTTTTTCTTGTAGGAAGCTATAGCTTAAATTTTTTCATTTCAATCTGAGTCAAAATATTACTTCTTATTTTCATATTTACAAGTCACGAATTTCAGTAATACTATAGTGTCGGTTGATATGCTAAGCCCGTATAGCATATTCCAGCTCCCGGACAAGCTAATCTATATATTCTTCTTGAGTCACATTTTGACTTTTTCAATTATTCGCTTATTGATCCTGACTGTTTTTTTTATGATCATGTGTGCGTATATCGCTTACCCTATTCACCACATGTCCTTAACTTATTTTTATCTGACTAAAAATTTCGATTAACGCTTGATTAAATAGAGTTGGCTCACTCGCTTTCTCCACTGCGCGTCATTTCACCTTACTCTCTTCTTTTCGCTTCGATGCTCCGCTCGTTTGTTTGGATCAACGATTGTGTGAAATATACGTATTCGAAATTCATTCTCGTATTTGGCTTATTTAATTCTGTTATTCACTAACGCGGATTAAGTCAATAATTATATTCAAGGATATCCGAAATGTTTATTTCAATAACATTCATGCGATTCAATTGGAGTTAGATATCCGGCCACTAAAATACTCACACACGAATTTGCAGGTGGATAACAAGTATGATAACTGAATAATATGTCCAAATAACCACATATGTATGTATCAATATCAAGATTAGATTTGATAGTTTCAAATAATTTCATTATTAGGTAGAAAACTAATAGTAATTCTAAATGAAACTCCTATGATCACTGACCTCCAAAACACCATAACACTCTGTGAATGAAGTATTTTAAGTTTGAAGCAACATCTTTTTCTCCTGAAGAATTCTACAGGAGGATTTTTCAATTGACATTTTGAAACCATATAATACTTACCTGAAGATATTTGTTATAATCACTGAAGAAATGAGATACCAAAATGTCCCACCGACTCTTATACTTAATCAAATCTTGGTATCCATATAGTCAATTCATTTAAATTAATCCATCCCTATATTTATAAAATATATACCTGTATGAATCATTGAAAGATTCTTGTGATGATAGTAACTGAGATATACCAAAGCCATAGTTAATCCACGAAGTAATGTATAAGAAATTTCCAGTCATCAGCTGACTTGTTACATTTTTACAGTTATGAAGAAACAAATAGAATAATTAATCCATTTCCACTGTTTCTTTTTTTAAATTCAATCAAAACACGGTGCTTTGTAAAATACAAATTTTCATTTTATGATATGATGTGGTCTGGTCTGCTTGTGTATTGACCAAGTATTTCTGAAATATACGACTCATATTGAGGAGGTTGGTATTTGTGTTTTGAAATGTACCGGCTAGGTTAGACGAGTAGCCACTATCTCAGTGGACCAATAAGAAATCAGAGTTGACTCAAGGCTGCTCGTCCTGGTTAACGCGTCATTAGTTTATCACAGAGACAGGGTCATATAAGTTGATGTTCTAACTGGCAATTTAGTCACGTGATATTTGACGGGGATTAGAACAAAACATAAACCGCTAAACTTTACTTAAAGTTATTGTCATAGCAAAAATAATGATTTTAAAAATTTTGTGAAATTTTATACTAATGTCGTGGTGTCTTCATTTTTTTTAAATTTTTGATTATACTAGATCAAGATCATATTCATTTACCTAATGATAGGCATAAAGCAGATAGAATAACGATGATGAATGCTAACTGTAGTACATCGTCTACATCGTTGTCTTTTAATCAATCAAGTGAAATAACCGACAGTTTTTTAGCTTCATCAAACTATCCAACAGTAAGTAATCTACAAAGCATTTCAAATATTCCATCAACAACGTCAGCAAAATTTACCGCTGTAAATTCAATAGAAAATTGTCAAACTACAGATAATTGGTGTTCAATTGATGAATCTATGCTCAACGAAGAAATTCTATTAAGTAATGGTGATATCTCTATGACACTAACTGAAAATGGTCATTCAATCGATAGTAGTACAAGTAGTAATTGTAGTATACATTCAAAATCAAAACGTATCAGAACAAGTTTTACACCTGATCAATTAGCAATACTTCAAGCAAATTTTGATATTGAAGCTAATCCAGATGGTCAAGAATTAGAACGTATTGCTGGTATGGCGAAACTAAATAAACGTGTTACACAAGTATGTTGAACTTTTTGATAAAACAGGTTTTTTATCAGTGGATTATAGTTTTATTCCTTAATCAATAATGCCTATAAGTATCAAGTCATAGTTGATAATTAATTCAATGAAAATTAAACAATCATGGAGAATATTATGTTTAATGAGTTAAGCCATTTGGTCATATCAAGTAAGTAAGTTTAGCTTAGAGTAGTCATATATTATGAATGATGTTTTCTTACTACTTATGTGACCAACAATGAGTAATAAACGCGAAATATTTCAATAATTTAATTTTGTTCAATTTTAAGATTGTTTATAGCTATCCAAATCTCAGCCCTCAAATTTTCTGGTACGGCCGAGAGTGGGAAGAGTCCGCTGGCCCACTCGACATGCTCTCACATGATTACGCGTCCTACTCACTGCCTTCTCGTGGCCACGGTGTTCTTTACGAAATTGAGAGGACGAAAAGCCCGAAGCTTTGAACGGGTTGGTGGACACAGCGAGTCCACTTAGGGGAGTTGGAAAACCCTCGTTCCAAACCAATGGTGCACATTGGCTCCAGTATCCTGAGGGAACAAATGGCGTATAAACCAATTGTTGGTCATTGGTTACCATGGGACTGCATCTCCTCACGATGCTCCATTGCCTTATGGATCATACCTTTAGGTCAAGGGCTCCGGGTGTGGCCCTGTGAGAAGACCACCTGCTTCAGGTTGGGCACCTGGGTAATATCACAGCCCTCACACAAATCAAATGAGGTTTGTTTGGCGCATATATATCTGGTGTCCCTTCGTACCAATATTTATGTATTTAAATAAATAAATTCGAATCTCAAGATACAACGTAAGTCGGTACTTATTGAAATGTTCTTATGTAGCACTTACCAATATAGCTAAACTTTTTTGGAAAAGAAAGATTTTTATAGTTTTTTGTGTAAGTCTAATTAGTCTAAATACTCATGACCACCTCCTCTTTCTCGTTGATTTCATCCTTAGTATCCTGTTTCACCATTTTAATGTCACATTTATATTTTTTCTGATTACAATTTCGAATTGATGCTACGTTATATGATATTCTTTGATACAGTGACTCAATATTATGATTCAACAAATACTGGTGTTTGTGTAATAAATAACTGTTATAATAAAGATCACCTTGGTGTTGTTTATTGATTTCAGGTATGGTTTCAAAATGCTAGAGCACGTAAAAAGAAGATTGAATGTCGTGGTACTCTTGAAGGACAACATGATCAAATAAGTTTTAACAGTTTAACTTGTTGTTTATCTGATTCTATGGGAATAGAAGAATTCTATGATAGTTCTAAAGAGAATATACCTTCAATGAATAATATGGATGAAGGACTTTTATCAACTAATGATAATGGAATGAATTCAAATCAAATTTATGAACGGGAATATAATTGCAAGTCTGATTGTTTCAATGAATTGAATCATGTTACTAATAATGATAAAAACATGAGTAATGAAAGTAATATCGGGAAAAATTTTTCACATTTTCATTTTCGTTCTGATCCAGTGTTTATTAATGATAATAGTTTAACATTGAACGGTAACGAACTGAACTATCCGAATAGTAATAACACTATAGAGCATGATTTTATCATGAACAGATTGTTCTCAAATCCCAATTCATTTGGGAAAATACCTTTTTCTTCAACAAGTAAGAAGTAATCTATTTAGACAGTTTATTTGATAAAGAAAATTATTTGTTTCTGATTAATATATTATTTTCCACTGCTATACGAGTTCATTCGGTGTCATTCGGTATTCATTTATGAGACATTAGCTTCTCACTTCTCAGTCACCCAACTTTTAACTTTCTATGCAATGAAAACATATGTTCATCATAAGCAGTTGGGTTATTCCCATCAGTTTTTTTAACTTAAATCCTACAAATTCACAATATCTGTGATAAGACGAGTCTTCATCATTCTTGGTAGATAAAAGATAGTCAGTTTATGACAGAAGGTATTGTGATACAAAATTAAGTACGATTTTTTTTCGTATTCTACATATATTTGTATGGACCAGTAGTGAACAAAACACGGGTGGGGACAATCGAACGTATTTCAGCACAAATTACAGACTATCTCACTAAATTCTGATAACCATACAGTCCACAGTTAATTTGCAAAATAACCATCATTTGTCTCAATCTTAACTGTTCGTTCTGCAAATATCAATCCGTCTTCTCTGATTTCATTGTTCATGCATTTTCGTACCAATCGCTCTTCATTACTGTTCGTTCCCTATTGACCGTCTGCCAAAGTACATTCCATATCTGACCCTCACCATATACTACTTATATGGATATAAGTAGACCACGTCACAGATCTATCAAAAGTTGATACCATTGTGGTGTGACTTTTTAGTAAACGTACTAACAATCATAGATCTTAGCAAATCATTTGAAATCTTACTCAAATACCTCTGTTACTCCACGTTGAGTATAGGCAGAGAAATCTGGTAGATTTATATGAAACCTCTTTTTCATTGTAACTAAACTGCATAAGCCATTCTCCTTGATCTAATAACCGGTAACAGCTAGCTGTAAGTCTAGCTCACTACGTATACTAATAACCATACACACAAAAAGAGTTTATGTTTAACTAAAAGTTTTTGTGTAAAAACCACTAGCGATTATTTCGTTAAACATAGAAAAATTGCGTGAATAAAATCACTGCAAGAGCAGGATGAACGAAACAGAGTGAAAATTTCATTGACATGACGGGTTACACTACCGTTACATGTGAATAGGTATAGATTATTTTACCAAATAGAGCAATTTTGAGCTACTCGTTCTGTAACCAGTGAATAATATTCGGTTGAATTTATTTATTTAAACACATAAATATTGGTAGGAAGGGACACCAGATATATATATGCGCCAAACAAATCTCATTTGATTTGTGTGAGGGCTGTGATACTGCTCGATTGGTTTTCTCACGGGGCCACACCCGGAGCCCTTGACCTAACGGTATGATCCATAAGGCAATGGAGCATCGTGAGGAGATGCAGTCCCATGGTAACCGATGACCAACAATTGGTTTATACGCCATTTGTTCTTTCAGGATACTGGAGCCAATATGCATCATTGGTTTGGAATCAGGGTTTTCCAACTTCCCTAGGTGAACTTTCCGTGTCCATCAACTCGGTTAAATCGCCGGATATTCGCTTTTCGTCCTCTCAATTTCGTAAAGAACACCGTGGCCACGAGAAGGCAGTGAGTAGGACTTCCCTGTTAGAGGCTTTATACGCGTGGCCATGTGAGGGCATTTGGGAGAGGGATAGCGGACTCTCCAAACTCTCGACTGTACCAAGCCATTTGGGGGCATTCCGTTGAATATAAATATAGAGTTTATATTTCAATGGTGTTACCCTTTTAATCTCGACAAGAATTCAAAATAGATTATTTCAAACGTCTACTTAATGAAATGACACAACTTTGGGGCTGATTTAATCAAACCAGGGTTTAAATTTGATCAAATCGAAATGATCTTATTTTCAGATACCATTTCGAATATCTTATCAGGCATATAACGTGAGATGTCATAATTTTAAATGATTCACACTTGACAATTTTTACCTAACCAGCAAATTATTCAATGGTGAGGTGAAATGACAAACAAATACTTTTCACACATCAGTTGTCTTTTGTTGATTGAATGATTTGACATAACTTCAATTTCCACAACGAAATCTCTGTTTTTATTATAGATGGACATTGTGTGTCATTATCTGACACAACTCCTCACGAATGTGATCGTCTCGAAAGAACGAGTTCTATGAAGGATTCTTCAGCGACTAAGAATGCTTTCAATACTATTGGGGTAAATAATCAAGGTGTTCAAATCAATAATACTACATCTATAAATGTTAGTACCGAAGATGTCGTTACGTTTGAAAATACGAATGGATCAAGTCATCCGCAGAATTCCACATCGTCAGCGAGGTGTTCCGTTAGGCCGAATCTATTTGCAGATCAAAACATGGTTAACATTGTTCCATCAAATTATCGTTTGCCAAATAATTTTTATTTTCCTGCAATTGCGTTACCAACGAACTGATTTACCTATGACTACATATAAGCATATACATTACACCTTTCTCTTAAATATACAGCCATTGATTTGGATAACACAGGTAAAAGCAATCAAATGAATCACGTATACAAAATAATACACATACTAAAAATGATATAGTCTTTTTGATTAGCCCCATTTCTCGTGGGATTTACATTCAAACATTTTACCTTTTATATTTTACACTACTGAAAAACAAAAAAGTAATAATAAAGTCATCTTATAATTTAGTCACATATAACACAATCATAGTACCTTGATCTGCGTTTTATTGAACACAATTAAACTAAATAAAATCTGCTTACAAATTAGACGTACATTTTTCATTTAATACTTTGGTTTATCTTATTTAAACAGACAAAAAGAATTCATTTCAGTTTGGTCTTTTCTTTGTGTTATAATGATGTAACTGTATGAAATACTGAAATTAAAACATATTTCATCAAAATGATTAAATAGACATTAATTTAATTGTAATCACTTATTTGTTTGAGTAGCGTTGTTTACGTATGATCTTAATGATAGCTCTAGAATATTATTACGTAATATAGCAAAACGTATATAGAAGATAAGCAGTAGACTTCAATTATATTGAAAATATTTGAAAGTATCATAGTGTTAATGTAAAAACCTGACTTTTGTACTTATATGTCCGTAACTGGCCTTCAACTATGTTGTTTACAACAAGAAAGAACACCAAGAACCTTATTTCCTTCTTTCAAGAAATCATGATTCACACTCAATGGTTTAACATTTATTTTTATTCCTACTTACGATATTAATTTTTAAACTTTATTGCATTACGTATCAGTATTCTCGAACCATCATCATATTTATAGATAGAACACATTTTAGGAGCCCTAATCCCAAAATTTCAATTGATTAAGGACAATTACTTGATTTGAGCAGAGCTCAAACATCTAGTTCAAGGTTGTACACAAAAAAGTAGTACTTACTTTTCAGAATACTCTTGGGTGATAAATTACTTATGTTGCAATTTACGATTAATAAGTTAATCTTGAGTAGGTTTGACCAAAAGGTATTACATTAAATGCCATGTATACTCTATATTTCAGTCAGTAATTAAACTATTTCAACGATCCTATTGCATAACCAATGAAAAATTAAAATCGATTTCATCAAGAAGAAATACTTTTAAATCACATTATTTATTGAATCTATACAATGATATTTAAAGGTAAAAGTTTATTAGAAAGTAGAATAAAACTAAAGTACAAGTTAATCAGAAGTTTCAAGCTTCATTAGTTTACTTATGACAGTTAACAATCTCATAAAAAAATCAAAACTATTATCAAAGAGAAATAGGAGATATGGATGTCCATTTGAAGAATATAAAGAAGACATTATTTATTTACTTACGCCTGTTACACCTCGTGGAGGAGCATAGGCCACCCATCAGCATTCTCCATCCAACTCTGTCCTGGGCAATCCTTTCCAGTTCGTTCCAGTTTTTATTTATCCTTTTCATATCTGTTTCTATTTCCCGCCGTAATGTGTTCTTTGGCCTTCCTGTTTACCTCTTCCCTTCCGGATTCCAAGTTAGGGATTGCCTTGTAATGCACATTGGTGATTTCCTTAATGTATGTCCTATCGACTTCCAACTTTTTTTCTGAATTTCCTCTTCAGCTGGAAGCTGGTATACTATTTCTAGAAAATTGTAGATATGAGAAACAACTGATGAATAAGTTAAAAAAGAGGTCAGAAAATGGGTGTTTAGGAATCGGATATACAAATCTTATTAGTTACTACTAATGTAATGCATCATTTTTAATATTTGCTCTTTATTTTTATCCCAATTATATAAATTTTACTGAAGCTTTTATTTTGAAAATATAAAAAAATTGGTAAGCAAAGATGGATAGTGGCTAGCAGTGGAATCCAGGACGCGCGTTCATCCTATTCGGGATGTACCTGCATCTCAAAATTGATGCTCACTATGGGACTCGAACCCAGTAATGTTCGCTTCAAACTTCATCGCGTTATCCACTCTTCTTCTGCAAATGGCTTGTGCCATTCTGATAACAAACTTATTTGTATATGTGAATACACATATGCATGCATATATGATTAAGCAATTCATTGAACAGGTCCAATAGTAAATCGATTTATTGACTTTACACATAGGTAAGTGTCGACTATCAAACAAATCTGTTTAAAGTGATCTTCAAAAAACGTTAAAGTTGAGCATTTTGGATAAATACTGAATTAAATTCTTATTGAAGTATTTCACTGACTACAAGTTTAAATTCTGACAATATGAATTAAATTTTATTGTTGTTGTAGGATAAATTAATCAAGAAATAATATTTTATGAATTACAAAGCCAATAGTTTTAAATGACTACTGATGTTCCACACGAAACTGTTATGTTATGACTTCTGCTCAGTATATTATCACTAGCCTCACTCATACTGTCGTAATGAAACAGATGCCAAGATCCATGATTCTTTAAAAAAAGTCTATATAACAACAACACAGATAGATATTAAAAAATAATTCATCATTAAAATCCGTTTTCGGTGACTACTTCAAATCATAAAGTATTAAGTAGTGAATTCGAGCAGTTTGTTCCAACTATCACAGTATTCAACATTAATATTACTAAACAAGAGCATCTTACACGTAAAACTAAATCCGGTAAATATGTATAAATAGTTAAAAATTGTCATTAGCTTCAGTTCTAAATAAAACTTGTCCAATTATTGCCTACTAGTTTAAAAAGTAAGTTTCGAATGCCAGAGCCTTCGGTTCAGTGAGCATTAAATCTATATGAATTTTATTCAGAATTATCCATCATAGTTGGAAATAGACAACTCAAAGTTTGGAAGTATTCGTTGCTGATATCAACAAATTGCTTATGAGTAAATCGTAGTAAAAACTTTTTAGTTTCTTCTTATTGCTACAATTTTTCTTCTTTTGCAAGATTATAAATTAATTCGAAGTAAACTTAACAACAGTGATCTAAGTTGTATCATCGATTAACATAAATAATTAGTCGTAATGTTTCAAAATCGGGCAAATCATTTGAAATAGACAACGTTTTAAACAGTAACTTGTACGAGGAAAATAAAAGATAATATTGGGAAGTATTATTAGTTGCAGAAGAAAAAGCAAATACTCAAAATTTCAACTTATACTATCAGCAAATACAACTCACTATTATAAAAAGAATAACAAAGGATATAGAAATAAATTGATGTGACTCAGACTACAGTTTTTCATCAACTCTATGACGTATACAAAGATTTTTAACACTAGTCAAGTAGTGTTGTGATAATGTAACTTAGTAAATTTAGTGAACTAAACAGTAGAACATTGGTTAACCTTTGAATAGCCTTTAGTATTTCCAATGTATCTGATAGAAGAACAAATAAAGGGCTTCTGTATTCCTCTTTTTTAAATAAATAGAAACAAGCTACTTTTAAAAAACAAGTAGTTTCATTTTCACATTAAAATAAACTAGTGTCTGTTATGACCACTGATGAAACACAAATAATATTAATAAACCATACAGTCATTGAACTTTTAAAAAGTTTAAATAAACACATAAAGACAGTGGTTTTGATCTAATCCTATTCTGCTCTAATAAAAGTAAGTTAATAATGTGACTGGAATATTTTTCTAGTATATTTAAACTATAATAACCTATAACAAATGAGTGAAGGATTTACTTATGAGACATCAACGATACCTCCAATAAAAACTAGAACACTCATCCCATGTAACTTCACCTATCACTGTAAAAAGGTACCAATGAATGCTAAGGATTGATTTATTCGGGTTGTCCAAACGTAAACAAGAAACTTAAGAAATGTTGAACAATCGTTATGAATACTTAGGGTAAAGTAATTTTGAGTGGTTGATATAGATATTTAAAAAAGTTCTGTCCCAGCAGAGTTAACAGGAACATTTTGTCAAAAAGTGCGAACTTTTTTCAAGTGTTATACTCTCAAGGAAACTGGAAACTAGTTAATAGTATGTGAACAATCATAGTAAGCTATTAAAATTAGAAAAATAACGTAATGCAGTAATATGTGAGAGAGATTTTGCAAAATATGAACTCAAAGTGCAAAAAAAACTTAAGGTTATCAGTAATTGTTTGGCAAAGACCAATTTCTGAACTGTGATAGTAGTTTATTAATATCGATTTACATGACTCGTCAAAATAGAGAAATTGACGAAGTACGTACTTAAATCATTTCATCTCCCAAGAATTGATACCAAATCACAAGAATAGTAAGTGACCTTACATGAGAACAACTGAAACTTCTGAAATATTTGGCATGAAGTATACGTTTTGTAGGTCAAGCCTTCTTTATCCGAGATGAAAGACAGTTTACCAATGTGTATATAATTTCAGAAATAATCTTACAAATGATCTGAACTAAACCAAATCAAATATTCCGAGAAAATCGGATATAAAACCTCTTATTATGTTGAAAAAAACACGCACCCATTCTCTCTTGAAACGTTATGCATTTTTTCACATATCTTACTTCAAACTTTATAAACATGATCTTATTTACCATGCTTGTGAACTAAGGCTATATCGAGGCAATACGCACAGTATGCACATATGCCAACTAGAGACTGACCAGTTGCAGTCCTAACACATCGATGAGAAGATTCAAACAAAGAATACTAAGTGAATGATCTTACTTACTTATTTACGTACGCCTATTACCCACAATGGAGCATAGACCGCCGACCAGCATTCTCCAACCAACTCTGTCCTAGGCCTTCCTTCCTCGTTCTATCCAATTTTTGTTCATTCTTCTCATGTCTGTCTACGTTTCTCGATGTAATGTGTTCTTTGGTCTTCCTTTTCTCCTTCGGCCTTCAGGATTCTATGTGAGGGCTTGTCTTGTGATGCAATTGGGTGGTTTGCTCAGAGTGTGATGAGGCTGCTGCTACATTGGTCTTTTTCTCCTGCATTTGTTGTTGCGTGTGAGATAGAAGAGCCGGATCATCCGCAAAGTCTAAATCGTCCAGCTGCATCCTAGTTGTCCCTTCCCTCCAGATGTTGACGTCTTCATGATGCAGTCGATTGATCCTTACGGAATCCAGCCTGCCGGTCTCAAATATAAACTTGATCACTGCATATTATTTCTTTACAATTATTTTTAGATAGTTAGTGAGTGATCAGCATTATTATTTGTTGCATTTATCATATTGGTTGGAAAAACTTTCAAAAAAATTCCTAAATATCTCTTCACTAATTATTTAATATTATTTATATGAATGACTTTTATACATAATTCAATTTTAACATATTTTTCACTATGGATAGAATTCAGACAAAAAGCTGTTGAAAACGAAGTAGTATTGGAGCATTGTTTTATCTTAGTTAATGAGTTCACCTGAAAAATATCTTTGAACTGAAAAACTTTTACGAATCTTCTATCTTGCTCACATTTACGACAGTGTTAATGACCAGATTCCGAATGAATTCCT